GATATAACATTGAGAAGTTATTGTTTGTTTATAGTCTGACAACAGATTTACTAAGTATTGCGCAACAGCACAGTGTATTGCACAACAGCAAGACATCTTTAATTGAATATAAATTCAATTCACATAACAAATTTCAAGTTCTTTGACTACATTTATTCAGAAACCTATAATATGTCAAATATTTAATTACAATCCAAATTCAGACCTGTATCAAGCTTGAATATTGTGTACATTTTTGCCCCAACTGTTCACGGTTGGACCTCTGCAGGCGTATCCAGCTGCGCTCAGCGAAGCAGTTTTTATACGACCGCAAACAAATTTTTGGGATCGTATAATGGTATGATGTCGTCGTTGTCGTCCGAAGACACGTTGGTTTCCGGACAATAACTTTAGTTAAGATGAATAGATCTCTATGAAATTTTTTAAGAAGGTTCAATACCACAAAAGGAAGGTTGGGATTGATTTTGGGGATAATGGTCCTAACGGTTTAGGAATTAGGGGCCCAAAAAGGGCCTAAAACAAGCATTTTTCTAGTTTCAGGATAATAACTTCTGTATAAGTATTTTGATTGCTCTGAAATTGTACCACAATGTTTAATACCACAAGTTGAAGGTTTTTGATTCATTTTAGGGGTGATGGGGCCAACAGTTTAGGTATTAAGGGCCAAAAAGGGGCCAAAAACAAGCATTTTTCTAGTTTCCAGACAATAACTTGTGTGAAAGTGTATGGATCTCTCTGACATTGTACCACAAGGTTCCATATAACAAAGGGAAGGCTGTGATTGAGTTTGGGGTTAATTGCCCCAAACATGTAGGAATTAGGGGCACAAAAAGGGCCAAAAACAAGCATTTTTCTGGTTTCCAGACAATAACTTGTGTGTAAGTGTGTGGATCTCTCCGAAATTGTACTACAATGTTCCATACTACAAAGGAAAGGCTGGGATTGAGTTTTGGGGTTATTTCTCTAAGGGGGGTTTCAAAAAGTTGGGGGGGGGGGATTTTTTTTTCTAATTTTTTTAAGGGATTCATATTTTTTTTTCAAAATTTTTCAAATTTCGAATTTTTGAAAAGTTTCAAGAAGAAATCTTCAATTGCACAGTATTGCACAATAGATTTGTAAGATCTTTGACCACATTTGTTTTGTGTCAGAAACCTATATTATGTAAAAAATTTGATCACAATCCAAATTCAGACAGTATCAAGCTTGAATATTGTGTCCAAATTTGCCCAATCTGTTCAGGGATTTGACCTCTGCGGTCGTATCAGGCTGCGCTCAGCGAAGCATTTTATTTTTTGCTTAATTTGACAAAACTAAACCAAACTTGCTGTTAAAAGCGAATTATTATTTCACTATTTCACTTTCATTAATGGTACAACAAAAATAATCATACTTTATTTTTTTTTATATCTCGTAGCTAATGCCTCTTTAATAATTGTCAGACTGACAATACCACATGGTTTGTTTGTAGAAAAACATACAGTGCATAAAATGTAGACCTGTTGTAAATATCTTTGAATAAAACACAACAAACAGCCACATTCAACAAAAACACAAATAGGATGTTGTACGAAATTAAATTTTAACCCCACTATAAAATCTTCTGTTTTATAGTCCACAGCAGTACTTAGCATTCATTATTATTCATGGGATACCAATTTTAGTGGATTTTGTTAGTGTAGGTGAACCATGAATGTTCAACGAAGTGCAAAATTTTCCAGAGGCTAATAAGACTAAGAAATTCAATTGGAAAATATATTTTTCCTCAATCCACATAAATAAATGTATTTTCAGTCTTTGCAAGGATAATCCGTATATATGCGTTAGAAAAGTGGTCTTCATTAAAAAAAAAACCTGAAATTTGTATGGTATGGTCTTTATCCGTAACAAATATGTGGTAAGGGACAACATCAAAAGATGGATGTCGGATAAAAAACTTGATTCAAATAGTTTGGGGGGGGGGGTAAAAATCGCTGCAAATTTTGTTATCTGACAGTGATTTTCAGATTGAAAAATACGGATTCAAGTTTGGCCCTTACATATGTTTGGACTTTTAAACCAAATGAAATCCATCAACTCGTACCGGAAAGTATTGGGGTGAAATTAATCATAGTATCTATGTCGTTCAAACGCTTTATCGATCGTGAATTTTGAATGATATGAAACCATATACAGATCAACTCAGATTGTTTAGGTCCACATGGTGGCATTCAAAAATAAACTTTAAAATTTCCTTTGAAAGTATGTTAATTATTTAATTATTAAAATGAAAACTGAAATATAAATTCAAATAAAAATTTGAAAGTTTTATAGAATTTTGTGAGATAGTAGGAAAATATGAGTGGTCAAAAGACATTGAATAGAAATTACATAGATCATATCAGTAATCACATTCACTATATTCATTTGGGATTGTGCTTTTCCCTCTTTCCACAGTTGGCACAAATGCACTGCCCTGTCATCACCATACATTTCAATGGACCACTATTTAGTTTAAAGCTATATACGTTATATGAAACAATGAACTGTTTCATATTCATTTGAGAAAAGAAACAAAAACAATCGAAAACCATAAACCCAATATTTACCCATGCAAAAAGTGGGCAGATGAAAAATGCAGAATCCATGCTGACTGTAGTGTTTATAAAATTATAATTTAACAGTGCCTTTTTGATGCATAATAAAAATACACATAACTTTTTTCCAATATTGTTTAAAAGTGATGTCCAAGTCAATATACAGAACAAACATACATTGTTGAGGAAAAACAGGACCCATGATACAAAAAGTATACTCTGAGAGCATATGCCAATATTGGTCAATCAATTTTTATATGACCGCAAAAAAATTTTGCAGTCGTATATTAGTATGACGTTTGCCTCGTCGTCTCGTCGTCGTCCGAAGACACATTGGTTTTCGCACACAATAACTTTAGTTTAAGTGAATGGATCTCTATGAAATTTTACCATAAGGTTTAATACCACAAAAGGAAGGTTGGGATTGATTTTGGGGGTTATGGTACCAACAGTTAAGGAATTAGGGGCAAAAAAAGGGCCCAAATAAGCATTTTTCTAGTTTCCAGACAATAACTTGTGGAACGGTGTATGAATCTCTCTGAAATTATACCACAAGTTTACATACCACAAAGGGATGGTTAGGATTGACTTTGGGGGGTTATGGCTCAAACCGTTTTGGAATTAGGGGCAAAAAAGGGGAAAAAACAAGGGTTTCCTGGTTAATGGACAATTTAAAAGCAGTGTAAGGGAGGTAATCCAAATACATTTAAAGTATTAAAAAAAAATTGGATTACCTCCCATACATTGCTTTTAAATTATGTATAAAGATGGTGTATTGTCTTGAGGTGATTAGCTGTCAATTAATTTTTATACGCCCGTCAAATTTTTGACGGGACGTATTATGGTATACAAACGTCCGGCGTCCGTCCGTCTGTCTGTCTGTCCGTCTGTCTGTCTGTCCGGCGTAAACATGTGGCACCATAACTTGAGAATGACTTATCCAAAACATAGTTGTTTCTTATGATGGTCAAACGATATAATTTTTGGTGAAAATAAGATTAAAACTTTTTGAGTTACAGGACTTAGTAACTAAATCAGGTGTGTGTTTTTTTTCACATGTTGCACCGTATCTCAAAAACAATTTATGATTATTGCTTAAAACTTTAAACACTTCTTAGTTATATTAATCTTAAGATCTGTTTACTTTTTGGTGATGATTCAAAATTTTATTTTAGAGATATTGAGTATTTTGGTTAAAAAAGGGGGAGGGGTTTTTCACATGTCGTGCCATATCTCAAAAACAGTTTATGATTATTGCTTAAAACTTTACACACTTCTTAGTTATATTAACCTTAAGATCTGTATACTTTTTGGTGATGATTCAAAATTTTATTTTTGAGTTATTGAGTATTTTGTAAAAAAAGGGGGAGGGGTTTTTCACATGTTGCGCCGTATCTCAAAAACGATTTATGATTATTGCTTAAAATTTTACACACTTCTTAGTTATATTAATCTAAAGATCTGTATACTTTTTGGTTTTGATTCAAAATTTTATTTTTGAGATATTGATTTTTTTTTTAAAAGGGGGGGTTTTCACATGTCGCGCCGTATCTCAAAAACGATTTATGATTATTGCTTAAAATTTTACACACTTCTTAGTTATATTAATCTAAAGATCTGTATAATTTTTGGTTTTGATTCAAAATTTTATTTTAGAGATATCCAGTTTTTTGTAAAAAAAAAGGTGGTTTTCGCATGTCACGCCGTATGTCAGAAACTATTTATGCTTATTGCATAAAAATTCACACACAAGACGACGGGCGTATCATGCACTCATGGCACAGCTGTTTATTAGAAGTTACTATTAAAGGAATATTAATTTTAGCCATGATTATGTATGTCATTTTCTATTTTAAGACTTTTATGATGTATTTAAATTGGTAATTATGGTTGCAAACTCCATTGGAAATTTGAATTGAGATTATGACCATATCTTGAGGGAAAGAATTTTTTTTTGGGAAATTTTTTTTTTTTTCATTTCGAATTCAGATTTCAGAAATTAAAAAGAAAATTTCTTCAAATATTTTTTTTTTTTTTGCAAAATAAGGGGGGGGGTCAATACGCAACAGCATGGTGTATTGCACAAAAGCAAAAAATTGAATATAAATTCAAATCATATTACCAATTCTAAGTTCTTTGACTACAGTTATTCTGTGTCAGAAACCTATTATGTGTCAAATATTTAATTACAATCCAAATTCAGACCTGTATCAAGCACGAATATTGTGTCCATTTTTGCCCCAACTGTTCAGGGTTGGACCTCTGAGGTCGTATCCAGCTGCGCTCAGTGAAGCATTTTATTCCCAAATTAAGTTAAGAAGGGGGGGGGGGGGGGGGGTCAGTGAAAAAACTATGTGAATTAAGTTTTTTATCCTACATTGAACTTATGATGTCGTCCCTAATGAGATGTGAAAATTTTATTTTCAGGCCTCCGGATTTGAATGGGCAGATGATCTCATTTCATCAGTAGAAGTTGAGGATAGACCAACAAGTAGGAATTCAGTGCTAGAAACATCAGTCGTTAATAACAATCAGCAGTCTGTCCAGTATGGCCATTCTTCTGGACAGTTGTCTAGTCAGCCCGGTACTGTCAATTTACAGTTTGTCCAAAGTAATACAACACAGACGGTACAACAAGCTACTGTCCAGCAACAACCTGCTCAACTGCTGCCAAATATTACCAACTTAAGTCAGGGGTAGGTACAACAATTACACCTGCCTCCAAATATTTTCACTTTATTAGTAACATGGGAGGATTTTTATATTGACAAAAAGTCAAAATTACTGACTAGTCGCTCATAGAATACAGGTAGACACCATATTGGATAAACACGTCTGAAAAGCCTTCTTAACCTAAAGTTCCACCAAATATCAGATTTAAGAATAAGGTGCGATCTACCCACTCAATTGCTGCTAGATTTGATCACTAAAGCTTTAGTAAAAGGTGGGTTGTTGGTTTACAGTTGCAAGAAATAAGATTCTTAACTGCTTCTAAATAATATCCAATTTTATCAAGAAAAAAGAAGCAACAATCATCAAAATGTTCAATTACTGATCTAACCGTCCTGACACAACATAGATGATCAGTTGTTAAAGGTTGAACAGCCACCATTTGATAAAAAAATTGATACATGATACTAATGAAACCACAAAAATAATTGTGAACATGTTACATGCTACAGATGTTGATACTTCATAGAATTTGTATTCTATAAATAGTTAGTTAATAATCTACTTACATTTTAACCACACACTACTCATTGAGTAGCCCCTTGAACATTTTTAAACAATTTTTTTTCAGCAATTTTTTTTTAAGAACAGTCATTTAGTAGCTACTAAAATGAACTATGTCCCAAATATTCAGCCGAATAGGAACTGTCTTCTACATGGAGAAATCTTCTATCAGTTAGTTTAAGTGACTATAAAGTTTGGGGAAAATATAATCATTAGAAGATATATATCTATCAAACATCATAGATAGGCACTGTTTTGATTATTCAAAGCAGTACATTGTATTGAGAAATAGAATCAGATTTGCAGTATATTTAGTTAATTTCCTAATGCTTGTAGAGTAAGACCTTGGTTGGCTTGCTTGCTTTGTTTGTATAAATGTTTGCTCAAGCATTGTAATTAAGATTGATATCTTCAAACAATATAAATAGGCAGAGTTAAACCTGTATACATTATATTTAGATTAATAACCTCCAGGATAGCATTTAATCAAATTTAAGTTATACAGGTTTAACTGGGCCTATTTATATTGTTTGCAGATGTCAATCTTGATAACAATGCTTGAGTAAACATTTATACAAACAAAGCAAGCAAGCCAAACAAAGTCTCAATCTACAAGCATTAGGAAATTAGCTCTAATGCTACTCAAACATAAAATTCTCTTTTTTTAAATTGTGCATATTGTATACACCAGTTTAAGTTATTAACATTTTGGTAATAAAACGAGAACAAGTAAATACAAGAACTGGTACTTATGGCTTTTCTAGAATTTCATTTTTCCACAGTTACATCACTGATCAAATTTTATGAATATTTACATACAATTATTTTTATTTATATACTTTCAGTGGTCAGCTGTTTCAGGGAGTAAATGGACAGTTATTTCTCAAGACATTACCAAATGGACAGTTCCAGTTGGCCGCCCAACCTCAAATCCAGCAGATACAGCAACATCCTCAACAATCCTCTAGTCCAATTCCAATCCAGCCTCATCCTCAAGGATCTCCTCACATCCATCAGACACCAAACCAAAGTCCCATACCTATCAGTTCACCTCATGTTGGTTCTTCATCGTCATCAGCCTCACCTCATGCGAGTCGATCTCTTACTCCACTACAGCAGCAACGGCAATATCAAAATGTTAACATGCTTCAGATTCCAGGTTCGCAATCACAGCAGCAGATCATTAGAAATCTACCAATCAGTAGTCAGATCTCAAACATTAGTAACTTTCAGACTCAACAAATTATCCAATCACAAGGCCATATATTATCGAATCAAGGTCAGGTGCTACAAAGTCATGGACATACTCAAGTACCCAATCAAGGACAAAACTATGTAAATACACAAAATACTGTTATACAAAATCCAAATGTTGTCAATGTCAATGTAGCACATGTTTTGTGTTCAAGTCAGTTTCAAGGTCAACAAGGGCAGATTCAAGGGACTTTAATCCAGACTGCTGATGGAAAGCATATCATTATTCCAAGTTCTCAAATGCCTTCTAATAACCAATTTCAGATTCAGAATGTTAATCAAATGCTTCAGCCACAGATTATTCCTACTTCAAGTGCCACTGGAACGACCCCTTTAGTACAAGGAGGCCAGGTAGTGGAAACTAATGCTGCAGCATTAGGAGGACTAGGTTACATAAGAATTGCAACGCCTACAAGCTCTAGTCAAGAGACGAAAGTTCAGCAACAAACAGCAACACATTTCTTAGGTTTAAATCAACAGGGTCAGCAGATATTGATTCAAAGAACTCCAACACCTACACCTGGCCAGAATATTGTATTACGGCAAGTCACACCACCAAATGTTCTGCAATTACCCCAGCAACAAACACTTGCTTCAAATCAAGTCTTACCTCAGACTACACAAGCTACTCAACAAATTCTCCTACCACAGGTTCAGAAAATTATGACGGGTTCTCAAGGTCAGCCACAGGTCAAACTTGTTGCCGCTAACAATCATCTACAGTCTAACAATTTACCGATGACAATTAACATTGGAGGTCAGAATGTCATACTTCCATCAAATATCCAACAGCTCATTCAACAAAACCAATTAAATCAGCTTCAAAAGCAGGCAAGTTCTAATGAAAATCTGCATCAGAACAAATCAACTATCTCTGGCATGGTTATGGCAACGTCAACATCGACAAGTAACTTGATATCCAGTGGGCATAATTCAGCACAGTTATTAAACACTTCTATGGTGAACAATCAGGCATCTAGTTCAAGCCAGGTGCCCCAGGGACAAAGCATAACATCACAAGTTCCAACATTTCTTTTACCAACTGTGAGTGCTAGCACAGCAAACATGACTCCAGTGACAACAACAGTATCACAAACTAAACAAATGGTCTCACAAATCAATATTAGTAGTAGTCCAAAAATGTACCAGACTATACCTTCAGTAGCAAGTAGTACTACATCCACTGTCACCACGGGTAAACCATTCTTATCAGCTGTCAATAATGCTCCAAAGCTACCTATGACAACAATTCAGTTGACACCTCAAGCACAGCAACAGATTAATGCTATTCAAAAGGAAATTCGTAAACTGCAATCACTGAAGGACCCTACAGATCAACAAACGCAGCAGTTACTGCGATTTAGTGAAGCTCTGAAACAAATTATAGCCAAAGGTCATATCAAAATACAACCAGCTCAAGGACAACTGCAGTTACAGCAAGTTACAAGCAATCAGACATCTAATGCCACTCCCATGTTTATTGGTCAACCTGCTGTGTCAGTTCCACAGCTTGGTCATGTCCTTGCCCATCACCAGTCCACAATTCAGTCAGCATCTAGTCCATTGGTAAATCAAAGTCTTGCTGCAGGAGCTGTGCAATCTCAAGTTAGTGGTGGACTACCAGGTAAATATACTATTTGAAAAATAATTTGTTTATACCCAGTAGGGATAATTGGTTTTAATTACTGTGGATTCATTGTTATTCGTGGAATGTTAATTTTCTTGGATTTTGTTGTTATAGGTGATCCATGAATTTAAGTATTCAACAAAATATACATTTTCTTTCAGCTTGCATACAGGATTTGACAAAACCATGAAAATCAGATATCTACGAAAATATAATTTTTCCTGAATCCACGAGAATAAATACCAGCGAAAATAAATGAATCCACAGTACATTGCATCAACATTGATTTACACAGATTATATGTTAATTTGACTACACAAGCTTGTTGATTAGACTGAATAAAACTTGATTTATAAAAAGAAGATTGGAACGTCAGTTTCAGTAATATTTATGCTTCTTGCTGTCCAATTTACTTAGGGAAAAAATTTAATTTATTATGCATTCATTAAAGATTAGAAAACATGTGTATTATGTATTGAAAAGAACCTCTTAGAAATTTTAAAACAATAATTTGTAGTTGGAATTTCAACAGAATGTACAAAATTCACCAACTTAAATCATGATGAGAAATAATTACAAAATATTTTATGATATCAAAGTGGATCAATCTGTATGATTATGAAAACTATAGGTCAAGTGCACATATTTGCAAACAACAAAACTGTTATATTCATCATAATTCAGTTTTCAAAGGCTTTGAGGTGGGGACCATTGTTTTTACATAGTTACTTGCTTTAAATCTTCATATTGTGACTCGATATAAAATCATATTTACATTATCAAAATGCAGAAAACTTGACAATTGGTATTTATAATGCATTCCTTTCTATAACAGTATTCATAACTATTTTGGTAACAAGGCACTCAGTTTTAAAAACAAGATAAAATTCAAGTCTGAAAGATGTATATGCAATGCAAAAGAAAATGATAAAGGCAATGCAGTTTTGAATAAACTACCAATTATAGATTTTATCTTGTTTACATTTTATCAAAATTGAATAACATAAATCTTTTTTTCTTTCAGCACAAGGTCTAGTCACCAGTGATAATTCATTTACATCAATGTGCACTACAAAATCTGTTCAGTCTCAGTCTGGATCTATTATGTCTATTTCACCTACTGGGAACAAGTCCCATCAGCAGCCAGTTCAACCCTCTAATGTTACTATACTAGGTCAAAGTCCGGCAGGAATGTTGTTACAACAAGGACAGTCTAGTGTTCTTAAGATGGCAATTCAGACCAACTCTAATGTCACACCAACTGTTGGAGAAAATAGCACTGTGTCCACTCCTGTGAAAATGGGGACTATAGTAGTACCGGGGAAAGTCCCGATTAATCCTAATCCACAAGTTGCTGTACCAACACAAATTAAGGTAGACACTTATTTGAATGATTGGTGAAGTCTCTTTTTGGCAAAAAAAAAAATAATTTACATTAGTAACTTTTGTGTTAACTTCATTGATTATCATAGAACTCTTATCTACTGCTTAAAATTTTTGTATTGATATTATAAATTTCAAAAATATTTTGCCTGCACAGAAATGTAATGTTTTAGGTGGGGGAAAAATACCTAGCATTTGTGAGGAAGATTTGAATGCAGCAATCCTTGGAATTAAAAAAAGAAGATTGAAATGAGAGGATATTATTTGTGTTATTGGCAGTATAAAATTTGTATTTTACAGCATATATGCTTCATTGTGTGCTAAAAACAATGCCATTTAGTTTGCATGGTTGCTAGGTGACAAAAAAAATAATGTTACCTTTGCTTACTACCAATTAAAAGAGTTACAATCATGACCATAGTTATTATGGGACAGTTGAAATAGTATGAGTAAAAAAGCCTATTTATAAATATAAATAAGAAAACTGAGCTTTTATACCTAAAGAGTTATGACTGTAACTTGTGTGAATTTTTTTTATGGCAAATGATGGTTGTTTACACTCATGGAATATCAGGAAACAGCAAAAAATATGAAACTCTGACCTTTTTTTTCTGAAAAAAAAAACTATTCCATAAAAACTAGTTTAACCCAAATATGTGTTGGTGTCCCAGGCAGGAAACTTATCATAGGTTGTATTTTTTATATCTTTTATAATGTTTTTGTCTAGGAATAGATTTTGATTGGAATTCTTTGGTAGTCTTTGGTGACATTTATTAGAGATTGACACATGGTGTAGACAATTTTCTGTTGTATAAAACCATATGGTAACCTAGATATCTATTTTACTTCTATTGGGGAATTTTGCTTTTAATTTATGGTTAGGTGGTTGTCTAAATTGTGTATACTCCATATCTCCTTTTATTCTCATTAAAATTTTAAACTGTATTTTTAGATTGCCAGCCATATCTTGACCTTGAACTTGACGCCAGATCAGAAGGATAAAGTTCAAAAGATGTTGTCAACAATGCCTCAAGAACAACAACAACAACAGATGGCTTTGTTCCTAAAGCTTCAACAACAACAGAAAATGAATGCTCAGGTTCAAGCACAGATACAACATCAGAAAAAGCTCCAACAAAATGTACAAGGCACTTCAAATATACAGAATCAGCTACCTGCAACTATACAACCTGTAAGAGTCTTTATCACACTTGATTTATATTTGAAAATGATTAAATGAATGTTACAGAAAAAACATATTTTAATTTGTGGAAAACGCTTGGAGAAAAAGTTAAAATACACGAAATTGTCCATGAGTCAAACTCCAATATGTCATAAGTCAATGAGACCCAATCTAATTTGACTTACCATGGATTCATTTAAGTGGATTTTGGAAAAATTGTATTTTTTCGTGGATATTTGATTAAGTGGTTTTGCCAAAGTCTGCATACAAGCATATAGAAAATTTGTTCTTCGTTGAACATCTAAATTTGTGGTTGCATCGAGTGAACCAACACCTTCTAACGGTACAGGCTGGTAGAGAGTAATCAGGATGGATACCCAGAGGTATGCTGCGGTTGTCTTGAAACCTCAGGAAAATAATGCTACACAAAGACAACAACATCGTAGATTACTGCAAGGAAAATATTTACTATGGTCTACATGTTTCGCCACTTACGGTGGCGTCTTCAGGACAATTTAAACATAGAAAACAAATACTGAAGTACATAAAATGCATGTAGACCATAATAAATATTTTCCTTGCAGTAATCTACGATGTTGTTGTCTTTATGTAGCATTATTCATCTAAATTTATGGTTAGAATTGTTTACCCTTACCCAAGAAATCAACAAAAATTGGTATCCCACGAATAAAAATGAATTCCCAGTATATAATGTTTGATTCATCTTAGTTTTTGCCTTGCAGCATGTTTTCATGTTTCAACATTGTACCTTTTATTGTCAACCTTGTATGTTTTTATTGAACTGTGTTTTATATAACAGTCCATCTGCATTGATGATATTAAAAGATACATTTTGTTTCTTGAAAATAAGAACAAGCTAATTTTGTTTTATAATGATATTATAAAAATGGTATCCTGTTGAATTATCTCTAGATATGACATTGGACATAGTAGAATAGTACATAAATATAATTGGAAAAAAAGGACAAAAATCCAAGCATATACTTGGCAATTGTAAATATGTAGGTAGAGAATCTTTGTTATTGTTGGTCTCTGTTTGATTTATTGACAGCTTGTTCATATAGCTCTTCAACTGTTTCGGTTCTTATACATCCTTGGCTTGCAAATATTCGGCTTTGAGCATTTCTGATGAAGCTAAATCCAGAAAAGTGCTTCGTAAGCATGAAATTTATAATGTGTTGTTTTCATTTTTTGACTCCATGTTGTTAAGTGCTATATCCTTCATCTATTCATAATACATATCAACTTTAACATATAAACTAGATGGAAAGAATTCAGAACAATATATTTTTATGTAAGTTAAAAGGTTATACGATGTGATTTTATTTCAGACAATTGTTCCAAGTACAACAGCAAGTACTATACTGCTTGAACATCCTGGGACATCACCATCTAAACCAAATATAGTACATAGAGTGTCTGTAGCTGCCATCCCAAAACATCAATTGTAAGTACCCTACAAGACAAATCTTGAAAAGGAAACTTGTCATAAAAAAATGAATTTGAGGAGATATGATTCCGCAAAAGTCAACCTAGCAAAATAAATATGACAAGAAGAGAATAGAAAACACACATTTAGCTGTTCCAGACCATATGAGTATTTGGACCGTATGCCTATGGTCTGGATCGTATACGTACTTTTCCAAAATATGCATACAGTTGGACTGTACACGTACGGTCTGCCTAATTTAAGAAGTTTGGCAAGTTTATTAGTTACAAATATATACTACAGATCAACATAACTGAAATCTCGAATTAATATAAAAAGTTCAATTGTAATTGAAATAAAAACTTAAAATTTTAACTATTTAAAAAAGTCACGTTAATTTAATCTGTTAATCTCCTGTATTTAGCATGTCAGTAATACATGAAATTGAAGTTATCGGAAGTAAACATAATGTGGGAAGAAAAGTTTTTAGAATATTTAGGAACTTAACATTAAAAACCTTCAAACCAGCTGTTTACTTGTGAGAAGACTGATAGAATTAGAAATGTTTTGATAAATGGGAAAAGTGGTTCAGCGCGATTCCGACAAAATGTTAAGGAAAAGATATTCTAATTGAAATAAAAATTTAATATTTTTAACTATTTAAAAAAGTCACGTTAATTTAATCTGTTAACCTACCTGAAAACCAGAGACATACGATGTTACAGACTACAGACCTACACAGGATGAACTCATGGCAGTTGATGATTTTATGATACTGAATGACATTATAGCTGACCCTCCTGATGACAGAAACTGTACCATGAAAACGGACAACGGACAAATGACGACTCACGACAGAATACGAAAGATACTGGACAGAAATTATAAAAAATCAGTTAAAAATACAATGAGAAAATATAATAAAAAAAGTGTCGAAAACTAATGCAAAGATTGAAAAGGTAGCTTTGTTACTGTATTAAAGAATACCAGTTGTTGATAGGGCATCAGGGGATCTTCCCGATTATTATGTAGGGTTGATGATATAATTGGTAAAGATCCAAGTTTGTACAAACTATCATGTGAATTTGGCATATTAAAACTATCATGTGAATTTAGCATATTAAACTCTTGTTATGATATGGGTGATATAGAATTTTTGACATGCAAAATTGAAACTGCACATTGGAAAACAGAAGGAATTTCATTGCATGCTGCCGCAAAACAAGCAATCTTTTCTCTTGCTAGCAAGAGATGTAAATGCAAAGGAACATGCACGAACAAAACATGTAAATGTAAAGTATCTGACATTCCTCGTGGCAGCAAGTGTCACCCTGGGCGAGAGTATCAAAATAGGATTCAGATCAGTCTGCGACGTTAAGCGGTAGCCAGAAGTCCCTGTCTAGTAAAAATCTCATCAGACTTGTGCAGAAGCACTGGTGATCGCCCGATCGATCTAGTGAACATCTGAAATCGTTTGCGAAATTGTAGCCGGTATTTTATTGAATATATGAGAACAAGTTACAAATTTGTCACCGACCTTGTTTTCATCCGTTTACTGGTATCCCTATTTTATCATATATGGGTTTTGTTACTTCTAAACAAAGGGAACCAGTCGTCAATGCGATATACCTAACTACCAACGAAATCGAGAACGAGGCTAGACCATGTGCTTGCAATAAACACAATCTATAGATACCACTCAATGTAAACAAACAATCAAGGATTCGATCTCATTCAATGCCGAAATAGAAACGGAGCTATCACAGGTAAAACATTGAAAAGTTGAAAAGGCCTTCACAAATACTCGGAGAAGTTTCAAGTTGACAAAAGCTATGCAGAAAAAGTTCTAGGCATTTTTAAATAACATTAAAGAAAGTGGCAATGAAAGAGGGTGTGGATGGGAGGTTTACAGAATAGAGAATAATAGGCAAAAAACAAAAAGAATATTTTTTAGAAAAAAATAAAGAATGGAGAAAAATAGTATAAAAAATAAAAGAATACAGAAATGAAGGACCCCCATCCAGACCCTAATGAAGTGCCAGAGATATAATATAATTTAAGATTATAAAAAATATGAAAGAATATGAGGAATAAACAGGTTGGGGACACCCTCCAATTAGGGAATTTTTTCCAAAATAAGTAACAATCCCTCAGCTGAGTAATAGTTAACTAGTGCTAAAAATGTGGATTTTTTAGCCGAGTCTTTTTACTTTTAATGGTACAAGTTTATCATGTTTATAGAAAAAGGATTTTTTTTGGCAAAAGAACTATATTTATTTTTTATTGGAGGAAAGGAGAATTTTTCATCTGACCTGGAGAAAAAAACAACATTTTTTAATAAGTTATATTCACTCCCAGATACAAAAATGTAACCTCAGAATGCAGGATTTTACGTCTAATTTTCCAAAATTTTCTTGGCGGGGGTCATGCCCCCAAATCCTCCTAGCACCGGTGACACAAATTATTTTAGGTCTAGTACACATCACTTTTGGGCTAAAAAATTTTTTATTCCACTAGCTGTATGGGCAAGTGCTTCAAAATGTTTTTGGCACAGACTGTCAGATAGACAATAAAATAAATATTTAATTTCAATTGATTGAATGTTCACTTATTCACTTTATTCATCTAATTGTAATAATATTAATTTGTAAAACTCAGTTAAAGATTTTGATAAATGTTTGTCTAAAATTAACCCATATGGTCCAAATACATGTATGGTCTAGACCGTATGAGTATGACCGTACGTGTATGGTTGAACAGTATGAGTATACGCATACCGTCCAAATACTCATATGATCTGAAAAATAGCCACCAACCATGAAGAATGAAAACAACTATAAATAAATTTTAGCAGATTACATTACAATTAATGAAAAGGGTGTAATTTGATTATGAAAGGCAGAGATAATTAATTTCAAATCAGGATTTCTTAGTTTGAAAACGGTATCAGTGAAAAAGTTATTTTTTACCAGAAAATACACAAAGTAATAAAACATTGATTACTTTCAGAATTCATCAACAAATGGGAAAAGATCAAGCTAATGCCATCGTCACAGATACCAAAACTCCATTTAGAAATCAACGTGATACATATAGAAGGCTTTTAAGATATCATGTGTTTCAAACAAAAAATCCCCCAGATGATTTAGTGAAGAAAGGTAAATATATATGCAGGTTTTCCAAAAAAAAAAACCATCTATCCAACAAGACAGTTTTTTTTATATCCTGTTTTTATACGCCAGTTTAGGGACGTATTATGGTATACCGTTGTCTGTCCGTCCATCGTCAACATGTCGGACATTAACTCAAAAATGCTTTGACCAATTTGCATAAAACTTTGGTGAATTGTTTATACCTATTGACGTGAGCTCCCTTTCGTTTTTTATAAAATTTAGATTTTATGTTTCCGAGTTATGGGATTTTATTCATTAAAAAAAGGGGGATTTTCCAGTTTTCGGACAATGAGTTAAGAATGCTTTCACCAACTTGCAAGAAATTGTGGTGAATTGTTTATATCTATTGACATGAGCTCCCTTTTGATTTTTATAAATTTTAGATTATACGTTTCCAAGTTACAGGGTTTTATTCATAAAAAAAGGGGGGATTTTCCAGATTTCGGACAAAAACTCAAAAATGCTTTCATCAATTCTTATGAAACTTTGGTGAATTGTTTGTATGTATTGATGTAAGCTCCCTTTATAATTTTATAAATTTTACATTTTACATTTCTGAGTTATGGGGTTTTATTCATTAAAAAAAGGGGTGATTTTCCAGTTTTCGGACAATAACTCAAAAATGCTGTCACCAATTCTCATGAAACTTTGGTGAATTGCTTATATCTATTGATGTAAGCTCCCTTTTTATTTTCATAAAATTCTTATATAACATTGAGAATTAATTGAACTTTATTTGTTTATAGTCTGACAACAGATTTACTAAGTATTGCACAACAGCAAGAAATCTTTAATTGAACATAAATTTAATTCATATAACAAATTTCAAGTTGTTTGAATACATTTATTCAGAAACCTATAATATGTCAAATATTTAATTACAATCCAAATTCAGACCTGAATCAAGCTTGAATATTGCGTCCATTTTTGCCCCAGCTGTTCAGGGTTGGACCTCTGCGGGCGTATCTAGCTGCGCTCAGCGAAGTAGTTTATTAATCTCTTTAGACTTTGTTACTAACGGTAACCACTGTGGAATCAAGGGCAATGAATTTGGTTGCAACACATCAAAATGATTACTTTGTATTTTTTATATGGATTCTCTGAACTGACTTTTTTCACGTTTGAAAACCCTAAAAAAATATATATCTGATTCAGTCTATATTTCAAAAGTACTTTTATTGTTATCATTAATTTATACAATTTACATACACATTTTACAACATATATTTTCATAAAACATTCTGTATGGTATTAAATCTGTGTCTAATACTATAAAACAAATTTTACTTGTAAGTAAGAGGAATCAATCATAAAAGTTTCAGTTGTAACTCTTAATTTGTCAAAATAGGGGATTTAATTATGTGATGGATATTTAGTTCCTACATCTTGACCATTCATTTCAAGTAGGACATAGTTGAACCAGTTGTGACTGAAAGTTGTTTGTTTATTCCTTTTCTCTGAATGTTTGTCATTCATTGTATGTTGACTTAAAGACATGATTTATTTTACAAGATGATGAAATGTTTGACGATTTATCAGAAGGCCTTGTTCGTAAGAAGGATTGGATGTTTGAAAAATATCGCAGTTTAATTCTCGAAGAAAGTATGGTAAGTATGTTTTAAAGAATTGAGGAACTTATTTAAAACATAAAGATTTATTGAAACAGGAACATTTAGTTTGGAATTATAACCAGACTGTAAAATGTGTAATACTTAAAACACCACTGTCTCAAAGTTGATTAAATTCATATTGCCAGTTTAAAATTTCTTTCGAACCAATGGGTTGAAATGAATTTGTTTTTTTTTTAAATAAAAATAAGGAGATGTGGTATGATTGCCAATGAGACAACTATCATAATAACAATAATAGGTCACTGTACAGCCTTTAACAATGAGAAAAACCAATACTGTATAGTCGGCTATGAAAAGGCCCAGACATGAAAAATGTTATAACTATTAAACTAACTGCCTAATATAGAACAATACAATTTACAAAAAACAGATATGACAGACATGAACCCAGGACAACCACTGAACTACAGGCTCCTGACTTGGGACAGGCACATAAAGAATGTGGTGGGATTGAACATGTTTGTGAGTTCTCCCCCCCCCCCCCTTAACCTAGGACAGGGGTGTTACAGCACAACATAAGAATAAACTGTGAATGGCTTAACCCTATAGATTGGTATGAAGCACAAAAAACAACTTTAACATAAAAACAATAGACACAAAGCACCTCACAGTTACTAAAAGCAAAGCATGCAAAGCCAATTACTACTGATTATAATAAATCTTGTTCTCCAAAACTATAATAAGTCATGTTCTCCAAAACTAAAAGTATGAATCGGTACACATCCAAGGGATTTAGTGTAAAGATGCATTAACAGTCTTGAGAAATGAAGAAGTTTCCACGTGCCAAAGTATAAGAAAACAGTATCAATAGAATGTAGGACTATGAGTACTCATAACTATATATATAGAATATATCTTTAGTTATGTTTTAATTTTTCAAAAACAAAATCAATGTTAAACATAGATTATAATCAAAATTTTAACATGTCACCTGTTAAGGTCTATCGGAAATAAACAAATATGGAACAGATAGTTTGATTTACTAAGATGTGCATTTGACTTGTGGTTAGTAAAATTTGCTTCTTTTTTCAGAGGGAAAAACAGACAGCTGAAATAATGATGATTCAAAAAATGTTAAATGAGGATCTCAAAGAAACACTTGAGGAAGAAAAAAGGGTTATCAAAAGAAATCCAGGTAAAAAACTGAAAAATTGATTCATTCTACTGTATTAACTTGTGTATCAGATCCACAATGTTTTACACACATTACTTACAATTAGATAATTTTCTTTTAACATGTATTTAAAGAGGCTAACTTGAAGTTAGTTCACATGCATAATAGATACTAGGGCATTTTTATTTGGCAGATTGAAAATATCTTTTGAGGTTCTTTGTCCTATAAATATTTCAATACACATTAATATTAATAGTATTGTAGGGATGACTTACTGTGACATGAAGAATATTCTCACCCAATACAAGGCATCAACATCAACATGGGTAGAAAGAAAGCTTCAAAAAGAGAAATAGAAACACCAAAAAGCAGAAGCAAGCATTACACACACAATAAGTCTTTTTAATGTTTGATTGACGATGCAATACGGTCAGTTACACAAACTCAGTAATAGCATATAATGGCCCAAAAGTAAGCTTAAATTATATGAGAATTGTAATAAAAAAATTCACAAGTGTTTAAAACATCTAGAGCAGTAGTGTTTGTTATATTGCAGATGAATTTGATCCAATGCCAAGAAAATATTTGAAATTAGAGCCTCACACAGATGAAGCCACTGATATCAAATTTGATCCAAACAGCATTCAAATCAAATGTGAAAAGGTCCAAGTTCCTTCTCCTTCTACTCCTTTGATTAAGAAGGAAAGTTTTGAAAGTGACAATTCCAGGCCTTCAACTCCAAAATTCAAACTGGTCATCAAATCAAGTGGTCAAGGGTACTCTAGTTCTATAACGGAGGAAGATTGTGAGCAGACTAATGTCTTAGAATCAAGTGACACCAAAGATATAAATTTTATGAGTGGTATTCAAGTGAAGGAGGAACAAATAGATATAGATAGTGATGAAGTGCCATTGGATAGGACACTTGAACCATTTGAATCTTATTCACAAGACAGAAACAATGAATCCCACGTTCTTTCTGATGATCTCATTGATGATGGTGCTGATAGTGATTCTGACATCACTGTTGTTAGTGATGATGACAATAAGACAAATGATGCTATTGTGATAGACGATGATGATGATCAGGAGGAGGAGGAGGATGGTGATAATGAGGAGGAGGATGAGGATGAAGATAACAGTGAAAATTCTAAGGTAGATAATTTTGATGAAACTATTTCTCGAAAATCTTCCGTTGAACCGGTCATCAAGCATGAAGACATATCAAATGACTTCAATGACTTTTTCTCAAACAAGTATCAGTCAGGATCGTCAGAGTTGTCATACTACACACGGACTACACAACAAAATCCCTTAACGGCAGATAACATAATATCTAGTTTAGCATCAGTAGATCAAATCTCAAATGATGTATCATACTCTCAAAATTCAGATGCTCATTCAACTCAAAATTCAGATGCTCATTCGACACAAACAATTCCATACAGTGAGGACGGAAACTCAATAAAAGACGAGGACTTAAGCAATGATGTAGATTACAACAAGTCTGCGTCATCATTTGCACATTATGAACCCATCTCATCACCTGAAGCTGACCAAAGTGAATCATTTTCTAACTACTTACCTCATTACGATTCATCATCATTTAATTTAGGTGGTATTAGGGATCAAAATTTAAGTTATGGTTTATCAGACCCAACGAGGGAAGGCTCATCAAATAATCATGTGACTGGAAATTCATCATGGGAAGAAGAGATGGAGGAAGAATCAGAAAATGCTGACAAAATTAAGGCAGAGATGGAAAGTGCAATAAATTCTATACTTAGTCTTAATTAATTGTGAAGATTTTTTTTTTTATTTTTAAAGGTTGTGTTTCTTGCAGAAAATTTTGTACATAATTTAATTTATTACAAAAACTTGCATGTATATTATGTTTTTTTACTTTATTGTGCACTTCTGTAAAACATAACAAAAAAAATCAAACTTAAAGACCGCTAAGCATCTAAGTATTCTCGAAAAGTGGTACTGTACTAAAAATATAGATAAATTTATGTATTGTATGTTTAACTATCTCCAAATTGTAAATAGTATCCCCTTTAATGGCATAAAACTGTCTCTGTTTGTTTTAAAATGCAGTTTTCAATTTCCAGTATGTGAAGTTTGTTGTAATCTAATTCATGGTAACATATGACACCATGACAAACATAGATGATGTCACCATACAAGCACATGCTGTTGCATTAAAGATTTTATGTGTCTCATTTTCTTCTAAGTAATTTCTAAACTTAAAAACATCTTTGTATGTATTGATAATGTTTTTCATAACAGATAACTTTTGTGGTCATTCGGCTACACAGTAGTACAATTTCAATGTCATCGGTTAATAAAGATGTTATTGTAACCTGTGGTCAGCTTAGTATACACCTTATCGCTATTTGTCTGCCAATACTGCATATCACAGACTTTCCTGTAAAATATTGACGTTGCAATAGAAAATGTCTGATGTCTGGTAGGAATTGTTGTTTGACGTCAATAGTTTAATTGTCACAAAGTTCCAAATAGCGATAAGGTCTATAAATACCTAACATACAAGCTATCATTTCTTGTCCGTCCAAAAAAAAAGAGATTTTTATTATTTATTACTCATAAAGCCAAGAGCTTTATCTTCTTTTGGCTTAATTTTCAACAATAAATGTTTATTGCAATTGGCCAATATGATAACCAGACTCATTAAAATGTTTTGAAATTTAGATACAGATTTTGCTATTAGACATAAAGTATAGATTGTACTTATCCTTTGAAGTCCTCAAGATCATTTGAAAAATAAATAATGATTTCAGAAACTTTTACAATTATTGTAAAAAAATGATTACTTCATCACAAGCCATGACATAATTTTGCTGAAAATAGTTGCCAATTTTGACTTTATATGTAGTGCTAGTGTTTTGTAGAATGTACAGTTATCCTGCTCGTTCTAATCCATTTGATATTTAGCATTCTTTATTCACTTTCTAGTTATTGCGAAAAGGTTGACAGGGCACAATCAGAATTTGTGATTTGTATTTATATGTTGTAATATATTTGCCTCTGTTTTATTCTCTGTAGGTATTTTAATGTAGCCAGATATGTTAATGTACTAGATGAAAGTGTGAAATTTACTTAAAACAACAACTTGACCATTCAAGGGCTTTTAATTTAAAAACATCATACACAGATAAATTGCATAGATATACTTTTTCAAAGAACATTTAAGGAATGACTGTAATATTTTTTCTGTCTATGAAGAAATAACATCAAAAATGTGGTGCACACTGAATAACACGTGTAGCGGGTTATTTAAAAGTGTGCACCACATTTTTGAGGTTATTTCAAATAGACAGAAAAAATATTACAGTCATCCTTATAATTCTAAATGTAATGGTCACATGACAAAATTATGTCTATGAGCTGATAGACCAAAAACATTCAGCCAATCATCAGACATGTTACATCCAAAATTAAATTATTAAAGGAAAAAAAGCTTAGTACATTTTGGTATCATTTATGTGGGGAATACAACAATACATTAGAAAGTTCAAAAATGTATTCTTGGAAATTGAAATAAAAGATCAGTATTTACAAATTTTATATCTCTGAAAATTCTTATTGTCTTGGTGTTAAAGTGCCATTTTTAATTGCAGTATTTTGTAAATTCTTTAAATTGTATTTTAAAAAGAAGAGATGCATATCTATGGTTGTTTATACCAAAAAATTGTGTTTCACAGACGTTATAAAAAATTTTGTAAGTATTTAAAAAGAAATTTAGAGAATGCTGAATCTGAAGTTTTCTTTTCAGTTGAACACATTAAAGTACACTCTGAAACTACCCAAATCCAGTAAGCCCAAGACAAAAGCCTTGGAAGTCAAATACATAAAACATATGTGAGCACTTAAAGTATCCTACACTAAACTTAATTTACTTTTTAAACACGTACAGAAGTGCCCGGAACCTTTTTGTATTATATTTGAAAATTACCAAAGGCCATTAAGTTACAAATGTGAAAAAGAATTGCCAAACTATTGATAATGTAACATAAATTATAATATATGCCAGATTAATTTGTCATTATTTATTTTTTAGATTTATTTTGTAATTTTGTACTGAACGCTGAATGTTCCAAGTAGTCAATATTCATTTGTTAATAATTCACCCATATTTTCATGTTTTTGTAGAGTTATCTACCTTTAGCCATACATATAGGATTGTTTAGATTGGTGCTTTAAAAAGATATTTTGCAATTCTATTCTGCTTAATCCATTCAATTTATTCTTCAAGAATCAGTTATGTTTGCCTTAATATTACTAGATAATTGCATTTTTAACAGAAATGTGAATGTATCATTTTTTGACAAATTAAAATTCATAAACTGCAGCAAGGGAGTCGTGGGATTTGGTTTTATTTTTGGAATTCATTGAAACTTGCAAGATGTCTCCCAAGCAAACCCAATGAATATTTAATGATTTATTTTAGATTATTATACTGTAAAAGAGAATTCTATAACATAACATTGATGGTGTTAAACAGGACCACAAGGATGAATATCCACCTTCAATTTAAATCTCTTCTGATTTACAATTACAGGACCGCTTATTTTCAACATTGGCATTTACAGAAAAATGGAAAGGCATTGTTCAAAACTAAAATTCAAATTTTTTAATAGTAAAAGGGTTTTTTTCTTAAGTAACTGCAGTTTTTATTTCAAAATAGTCTTTTGTATATTGCAGTCTGTTGCTAAAACATGTTTGTTGACTCAATTGCAAAAGGGGTTGGAGGAAGAAAATTGAAATGATTTTGAAATTGTCTTTGAATACCATATTTACAGAATATTTCACACAGAAGGTGATGTGTGTGTTAATTAAGATAGATAAATATTTATCTCATCTTTTGCAAGTAAATGCTGTATGTGTAGAAACACGATCTCTGTATTTCAGTATAGAATGCAACACTGCTATGAATTTTTGTATACTGTGTTGAGACAGAAGTTTTTTTTGCTGGTCAAATTCAAGGAAGAAATTGGGTTTAAAATGTGCTATTTAAATTTATGAAATTTGTAATGATAATGCCATTTTGTAATGAATTGTGCTATGATTTGAAGAAATCCAGTGAAAGATGTACTTACATCCCACCAAAAATCAATTATTGACCAATCAAAACTGCTGTATTTATTGCCATCATGTCATGTGTTGTTATTGTTTATGTCACATTGTGCTGCATATCATGTCAAAATCTGTTGAAGAAACATTTGTATAAAAAACAGGAAATAGATTTTGTCTTGGTTTTTTTGTCTTCACCATTTTACAGATGACTGTTTCTATGGTTCAGGTTTGAACAATTTTCAAAATATTTTTTGCACATTTAATTGCATATTGTAAAAAGCTTGCACAAATTAAATGCTTTGTTACCTGCTGTAAAAGGAAACTTACCTGCATTATCATATTACAACATATCTTATAGATAATGCAGCCATGATTTTTTCTTGTGCACATTTTACAAAAAGACATACATGTCCAAGACATACCCAGATGTCGATAACATTGATATCGATGAACTTATACACTCATAACATAACCAGATGTAGATTTTGATGACAACACCAATGACAAAACCTGATGTCGATATGGACAATGTCGATTCGATATCATCTCGATATCGATGATGACTTAAGATAATGAATAAAAATACTATATATCAAGCTGATTAAGTTACAACCGAATATGAAGATTGATATAGGGATAGATGAAGGCTGAATTGTAATCTTTTTTTTTTTTTAAAGATAATCAAGTGGTCACATCTCCAAATTACTGTATCCTTTAAAAAACAAATTAATGTATTCTTAAAAAAAATATAAATTATTTGGTTGTATAACGTTGACATAGTAATTAAGGTGCTAACTAAGTGAGATATGGTTGCAAACAAAGATCGGAAAAATGCAGATACAGTACAAATATGACTTATTATGTAAAATTCTAATCCATGGGATGTGAACTGGTTCCCATTTAAAATAGAGAAAACATGGTTTATTTATTGGTTGAAATTAGATATTAACTTGATTTGAATCGTTTTGAGTACTCTTAGGTCGGTACTTTGTGATTTTGTCTATATGTTGTTGTTCTTTGTGCCGATATGATAAGTCAAGCCTTTTCCTACTGAATTTTACATTGTGTATTTATGTATTGATGCTACACCACCGTCTTAGATTTAACCCTGCCACATCCTCAATGTGACTGACCCTTCTCAGGAGCTGTTTGATTAAGTGGTTGTTGGTTGCTGTCAGTCATATTTGAATTTTGTTTATCATTTGTACATTAATCAGAATATTTGTTTTCCCATTTGAAATATTTGACATTTTGTCATGCTGGTATTATTGTTAATCTTTGTTGAAGACTGTACAATGATGTATAGTTGTTTATATCCTCATACTCTTTGTGTTTGGTGGTCTGTTGTCTCATTGGAAATCGTACAACATACCCTTATTTTAATGTGTAATTAAGGTACATATACTAAACATATGTGTAATTAAGGTACGTATACTAAACATATATGTAATTAAGGTACGTATACTAAACTTATGTATAATTAGGGTACGTATACTAAACATATATGTAATTAAGGTACGTATACTAAACTTATGTATAATTAGGGTACATATACTAAACTAAACGAAATGAATAGAGAAACAAATTATGAAGAAAATGTTTAAATGTTGATATGGAATTGATATTGTCGACATATTAAACAGACGAACCAGGAGAAACCTAATTGTCTATATAGATAACTGTAGCAGATAGACATTTGGAACATAAATGTATCGATATCGACATCTTAAAACTGACTAACCAGGAGAAACTGAATTGTCTATATAGATAACTGTAGTAGATAGTCATTTGTAACATGATATTTGATATCGTCTCGATTATCTATATACATAGCTGTAAAACAGATAGACTTTAAACAGATGATCCAGGAGAAATTAAATTGTCTATATAGATAACTGTAGTAGATAGTTATTTGGAACATTATGTGTCGATATCGACATCTTTAACAGACAAACCAGGAGAAACCAAATTGTCTATATAGATAACTGTAGCAGATACACATTTGGATCATAATTTGTCGATATCGAAACTTCATCGTGTCTTGGACATGCCTCTAAAAAGAGGGGGCTTAAAAGTTTTCTGGTCTTTGCATCCTTTCATTCCTCCATGCCATATCATGTTAAAGTTTTTGTTTAAGGTAGTTCAACATAAAGTTGTGGTCACATCGACTTGAAACTTGGTACTGGTACACTATGATCTCAACTTTTTTAATGCCATATAGAGGTTTCATCCCTAAATTCCTGGTTTACTGAACATAAAAAAAGTTATAGTTTGTAACCAGTACATTCTCAGGTTTAAAGTTTTTGGTTAATGTGGTTTACCATTAATTAGTGGTCACATCAACTTTAAAATTTATGTGTTACATAAAAAATCTTTATCAAGTAAATCAATTATACATACAATAAGGGTGCTTCAGACTTATAGACTTGTATAAGAAACTACAAGTCACAGCTATGTATATGTAATTCAAACTTCCAAGCTTTATTTTGATTTTCCGTACCCATTGATATGTCTGCAGACCTATAGTATTATTTACTTTTTGATAGCAGAATACATATAATTTTCTTAAAATGTAAAGTTCTTGTCCTTATGTATGAATTATTGACCACTGAACATTAAGCAAGCAATATTCAATACATTTAAATCAACTACTTCAGAATCATTCTCTATAAGCATCAAAGAAAATAAGAAATGCATACTCCGTCACCAAAGCTGAAAGCAGATCAAGTAAAGGCTTGACACCTAGTAGCATTTTCCTGTTTGCAGATAGTTTGAAATTTCTGTCTATTTTCTTGGCTTCTATGAAGGGGAAGTTTTAATATTGGGTCTGCAGCTTGATAATGTTGCATTGTAGCAAGTATGGAATTTTTACATCCACCACTCATTCACTCCCTGTTTATTGATAGTTTGAAATTTACAACACTCATTTTACATGGATCATTTTCGTAAAAGTTTTCTTGGCTTCATTGAAAGAGAATGATCAGATATGCTCCAGTATATATGTTACCTTAATCAATGCAGGCCCAGACCTGGTATTAGTCTTATTATATAAAAGGTTTGTTATGGGGCATAGACAACAAAATATATTAAAATATTTGGTAACAAGTTTTCAATGTGCAGAGCGTTTCTAGACCTGTCATTTAATACCTGATTAAATGATAAATGTATGAGTAATATATTTTAAAAAAAAAATAGTTACAAAACTTTATCTAAGTGAGCTATACTTTTTAATAAATTTTCAGATCAACCACTTATCTACTTTGTAAAATGCATGTTCTTTTCTGTACAAAATTTCATCCACACTTTTCATATACAAATATGCTGCTTTGCTCAGAATAAGCAGCAGTGAACATTTGCTAGCAGCTCAAAGTCTAGCATCTTCTAAATATAGTATTGATAATGCTAAGTTAAGCCAAAGTTTTACTTTTAGGTCAAAAGCAGTTCAAAAATATGTTCGAAACTCTGCTTTTGAGTGTGACATGCTGCCATAAAATGGTATTTTCGTTCATCACAGACCTAGAACATTGTACATCATGTGAATTATACACCATTAATTATTCTACATGGAAGAATTGTCATTTTTATGCCACCGCGGTAGCGGAGAGGGCATTGAGTTTTATCCTAGTCCGTCCATTGCGTACATCCCCAAAATTGGTTTCTGATCTCTAACTTTAGTTTGCCTCAACCAACATATTAAACTTATACACAATGCTTATTACCACAAAACACAGATCAAATTTGAAATTGAGTGGCGCCACTTTTACCACTCATGAGTTGTTGAGTTATGCCCCTTTATAAACATAAAAATTGCTGAATTTTCCGTTTCTGTTTTCTAACTTTAGTTTGCCTCAACCAAATGTTATGAAACTTATACACAATGCTTATTACCACATAACACAGATCAAGTTTGAAATTGGTTGATGTCACTTTTACCTTTCTTGAGTTATGCCTCTTTATAAATGGAAAAATTGCTAAATCTGTCGTTTCCATTCTCTTTAGTTTGCCTAAACCAAATGTTATTGAACTATGAGAGTACTCAAACCTGCAAGCAATTTCTAATGACAACATGTAAAAATATATGTCATTAACTTTAAAAAAAAAGAAATGTCAATAATTAGAACTTTGACTCATGCATATATTTACAAGCCCATAGACACATTCTCCATTTATTTCCAACATGACTGCTTAGTGAAACATATTGAGTTACAGGAACATGTTTAAATATACATGAGAATCAGTAAGCATGATGAGGTAATGCTTCATCTCGAGTACTGTGTTTTTTGTAAAATGAGAAAATGGAAATATTGTTTAACCACATAGTTTATTTGAAAATTTTCATAGGACTATAGTACAATATTGAACTCTCATTTTCAAATCATGTTAAGGAAAATGCAATTAAATGGAGGTTTTCCTGCAAGCTAAATTTACACTGTCAAGAAATCAGTCATCCATAGGGCAACTTTACAAGATTAAAGCATTGAACATAAGTGATTAAGCAGAGACATACTTCATGAAGATTAGTTTGAAAGTAGTATTTAATTTCGAGATAAATAAAGATGAAATGTGGTGTTTCTACATGAATGGGTCCAATTTTTCTTTTAAGAATTCCTTTTTGCTTTGATTTTTCTGAACTCCATTTTTCTAACCTTTTGCTTTTTTCTGTATTCAAAATTCATTCTATATAGCACATTGAGGCCACATAAAATGATTTTTAGGGTAAAGAATGCGCTCGTTTTCAAAACCTCGCCAATACATCAGATAGTACAAAAATATAGTGCATTTTGATGTGAACATTCTATTCATTCTATCGGTTCACATCAAGAAATTTGTCAAAATATATACTAGTACTCAGATATTTAAATTACAAAATGATGCGTATGTGTATAAAGATACTTGTCACGAAGACTACATAACTTGTGCCTGCATTAGCATAAAAAAAAGTGATGTCACAGTGAGAGGTAGTATTTAAAATTTGAGTTATTTCCCTTTGTCCATAACACTGGTTGAACCAACTACAGTACAATTAACAAGGACAAAAGATGATATTCAAGTGAACATTCTTTACATTTTCTTGTTCATTTTAATCAATGAAATGCAAACTTGAATATTCAAGTAAAAAAAAGGTTGTATGTGTGTAACCAGACTAGTCCACCAAACTATTTTATTGAA